GAGAGAGAGAGAGAGAGAGAGAGAGAGAGAGAGAGAGAGAGAGAGAGAGAGAGGGAGAGAAGTCTTCAGTAATCCTATTCATTCAGAAAGATAGAGTTTCCGTATTCTTCGATAATGTTAATAGTCGTTTTAGGAGGGAAAAAATGTAGTAGATCATCTTTATTGCGAAGAATATAGCCAAAATAAAGCATGGATGAAAATGGGCTCTGTGAAGATATTAATTCTCATTCATACATTTTCTTTTCTACAGGAATATATAGTATTGATAATAGAATGTGTATATGGAGCCGAAGTGTTGATAATAATGATAATATAATAATGATAATAATCGTAGCCATGATAATGAAAAGCATGATAATGAAGATATTCGTTATTATTGTCATTATTAGTATTTCCAATAGCATCATCATGGGTACAAACACCTTAAAATAATCTTATTCATATTTGCATTTTCATTACCCTGATCGAAATTTATATTGTATTATAATCATCTTTACTTCGTTAACATAATTAAGCAGTATTCCAGCCATAATGGGATCAGCTTCCTAATTAACCTTGCATCATTTCTTTATCATTTCCTCTCCCCTTGTATGTTTTTCTTTCTTTCTTTCTTTACAAGTTCCATGCACAGGCGGAGGCAGCTGCGCGTGAGGGGAAAAAATGCAAATTTCTCCGCGGCAGGAGGTTAACAGTGCCTGGCGGAGTGGTTAAGAGGCGGTGATGCTTCGAGTTATCAGAAATCCATAATCCAGCTTGTTCAGCCGCGCCTGTCGAGGAGATTAGTGCTTGCCGTGAAGAGATCGGGGCTTGCCAGGTGACGAAATCCCCTGGCGACTCGCTGGCGACTTCATCCTTTTTTATTTCCCTCACATTTCCACGAGATTATGTATCCATCCGTCGCCGTATCCACTCAGATTAACTCATGGGATTCACCCACTTACTCACCTGAGACTCAGCTCTTCAGCGAAGTCTACCGGTCCTTGTTAATTTCAATGACGCTCACCCAACTCCCGGGGGAATTTCCGGCCAAACTGATGAAGATTAATGATGGGTGACGTCATTGTAAACAGGAATTATCCAAAAAAAAGCTTTAGTTTTTCCCGAAGGTGAGATGAAGAGGAAATTTTTGACGATAATAATTTTTTTTTTTTTTTTTTTTTGCTTTTTTTAGTGTTTATGTTTCTGGATATTTTTAACGAAAGATAATGCGCTGCAGGTCATTAACTCAAGGTTTATTATCACGATGAAGGATCAAGATATTAATGAAGACTTGATCTATGTTGGTAGCTGCGAGGGGTTGTGAATATAAAGAAATTTTGAAAATACATGTGAACGATAGTTACTTAAACATGAAAACTCTAGGGTAATAATATACCACGTTTCAAATAAAAAAGTTAAAATAACCAAGATAATAATTCAAACAAACGCAGTACCCGAGCGAAAAAAAACGTCAAATATTTTGGCTGTTAACAGTTTTTATTGTTTAAAATATTCAAAATGCTTATATGAAATAAAATCTGGAGAATTTCCAACGCTGTAATTCGCTGAAGGGCTACAGGAGTAATACATTTTGTGTTTATGGTTTTGAGGGTCCTCTGAGTCCACATTTTTGTCAAATGAGGGAACACACATATTTCCGTATACATCATTCTACTCCGTCATACGTATTTCATTTATAAAAAAACAGCAAAAACATAATAATAATAATAATGATAACAAAAAAAAATATATATATAAAATAAAATAAAATTCTACAATTATACAAGCCTCTGCTGCAATTTCTGCCTCGCACTTATTTCACGTTAGTTCGCCCCCTACCTCCCCCTCCCCCTCCCCCCCTCGCGCAGGCTGAGTTGGCTCCGCTCCCCTCGGCTGTGTTATGATTTTCATCAGCGGCCCAGCATCCACGGCTTCCCCTCATGGCAAGGGCGACAGTGGCGGCCCCCTCGACGAAGGGATGAAGGGAAAGAGGGCTCCAGTCACGGCGAAGGTGCACGTCATGACGCTTAAATAATTTAGTTCTGTGTTTGCCGAGTGTCAACATGCTTTCGGCTGCCACGCTAATACTCATATCTGCTCTCCATTGCTCGTTGAGTTGTTCCTTTTTTTATTCTTCTTCGCTCTCTCTTTCTCTCTTTCTCTTTCTCTCTCTCTCTCTCTCTTTTTCTTTTAGTTTTTCCCTTCGGCCGATCCGGAGAATTATCACGTCAGGGTAATGATTTCTCCATTATAACACATTCGATATTTGCTCAAGAGCTAATAATAGCATCTGGCTGAAACAGTCGGGAGGGAATTTAATAGCTTTATGTTGAGTCTCGATCCCATGTAAGCTCCACGGTTGGACGACTGGAATCCCCCGCTATTGAAATGCTTTCGAAAAAGGGATTTCCTTTACCTGCATGTTTGCTTGAGACGTGGATTTACCAGGATCAGAGGACACACTCAGTAATTTCATGACCTAGATTATTTGGCTCCCATGCACGTTCGTGAAATATTAAAT